GGACCATTCCGAGCAGCACTTGTGATGCGCATGTGTCAGACTCCATAGCCTGGTAGCGGTTCCTACCCCGTCAGGCGAGAGGCTCTAAGTATCTGGTAAGGAGGAATAGTTCCTAACCTTGGGGACAACAGAGTAGTGATGCCCAAATAAAATGGTTTGGTGGCTAAAACGGCACCAGAAGAGAACACTTTTATAAACTTTTTGATGGCGTATATTTGGACAAAGGGATTGGGGCATTTTGTACATCCCGGGCGGCAAAGTGACCATCATCATCATCACCTTGCCTCGAAGACGCTCACTAAAAGGTGAGAAAGAGGTTGAAGTTCAGTTCCAACGGAAAGAACCAAAGTAGGCAAGCTTTTTTCCAGAGAAAATAACTAAAATTGAGGCGAAATTAACAGACTTCTAGAAGTGAACAGTGAATGGTCGTCAAAGCAAACATGCGCCTATGTAAATTGTCCAAAATAGTATGGTACTTACTTCTTTTGGACCGTTTTTTGTATAGGACGCGATGACCGCACTCCAAACATCTGACCAGTTCACGGGGTCGGATTTCATTTTCAGCTCTGCATTCTGAAAATATAAAAAGCGTTCAGATGTACAGCGGGGGTGACGAAACGCGTGAAACGTCAACCACATAAGTTTTTTTAAGACATTTGTTACATAAATCAAGCAAGAGTACCAGCCCGCATGGAAGGAAATTTCAGATCATCTCTCATGCACGAAATTTTAAAGAGTTCAAATACAAGGATGCAGATAGGAGTGGTGAAATAGAGAGCGTTTCTGCTTTTGCCCTTGGACTTAAACTGACCCTCACGTTTCGGAGTTGTTCGGCTGCACCGAAATGTCCTCTCAATCGTTTGTTTCTGTGTGATCGACTACGAGGGATCTCGGCATGATTACCACGAGGCAATCAAGTCGCATGGGTAAGCGTCTCTCTCCGGTGACTTCCTGGTGGTAGTCGTCGGGGCTCAAGATCTTGGCATAACTGACAGAACCTCCTAATCAAATGCCCGATGCCCAAAAAACCAGTGTCACGATTAGCACGTCTGCCGGGATCTGGGTTGTCATTGGCTAATTGCGACAATTATGCAAGAAATTATACTTCCAACTTGCCTTGGCCCGCAACCTGTCTCAACAAGTTCGCACAAGAATTTCATTTTTAAACTCATCGCTGAGGAAGTCATTTTTTAGTGTTCGTCTGATCCAGAACTCGCAATTACGAGGATTGTTGTAATGTTTGCCTAAGAACTCGTCTTCAGCGTTTTATGAAAGCCAAACGTGGGTAATTCTTTTCAGCATTAAGTGTTAATGTGACTAAATCTCCCCCCTGTAACATAGGCAATAATAAGTGAGATTTCTGTGTATCGTCTAGGAGTACGGAATGGCCCATAAGACGCCTTTTGTCCACTATTTCGTCTTATTTTTGCTTAAAATGTTCGGAAATGTGCTACTAAAAGTGCACAATGAACCGATGCCCAAAAAACACAAAATTTTAAAAGTTCTTGCAGAAAAGAAGGAAACAAAAGAGTTTTCTGTGTCATGCAGCAACAGAAGCAGGGTATCAGTGAATCGCGTGTCTGTACTGCCTGGGTAGTGTGCCGTGCAACCTCTGCAGTTTTCTTAAGGATTAAATGAAAAGGCGCCTTACAGGTCACTCTGATTTATCGTCTTTATAAAAAAAAACAAATGTGAATTACCAATATCTAGGTAGAACGCTTTCTTTATTATGATTGATAGAAATGGAGTGAATGATTGTTCGCCATTATGTAAAATTACGGTGTTAAAGTAATTCTTATAATAACATATTTTTTTCCGTAGAGCGAAAAAAAATATTATTTATAATTTTAGATGATATCTGTCGAGTGTGGTATCCTTAGTTTTTTAGCCTCACGGGTGAAATTTATGGAAAAAGGTCTGGCTGGGTGAATAAGTATATGCAAATGGTTCAGGGCAGCTGAGATTCTGTACTTTCTGACAAGAAACTTTTCATGAAAATGGTAGCACACAACCCCGTTATGGCGAGTATCTGTCATATCAAATAACGATTATATCGTGGGCCCTTTTCAGCGCTCATTCATTCAATGCAAAATATCCTCCAGTAGCCAAATTTGGAGTATGCGTAACTTTTAAGAAGCCTTACCATGACGTGAATCGCTCGAGACAATAATCTTGCAGTCATTAAGAAAATAGGAATATGCAGAATATAACTCTACTCACATCCTACTTCAGTAATAGCAAGTTCCAAAATACAACTTAAGTCTGCATGTTTAGTAGGATAGAACAAAGTCTGAAAATAAACTAACGGAAGAGGCGAAAGGAAGGTGCAAAGGACCATAAAAAAACCTCAAAACGGAGATAAACACTTGCTCATTGAAATATCGGGCAAAAAACGAGGAGACGTGTATTATTGACGCGTAACGGATAACCACCGTGTCCACTGCACATCAAAGGAGAGAAGAGGTATGTCTATATTACCTTTTCTACTAGGAGTCTAAATCAACTAGATGCCATCAGAAAAAAGAGGCAAATTAGATAATATGACTTCAGTGGCTGGTTTTTGCGTATACCAGAAGGAACACCACGAGTGCAGAGATGGTGCAAGAGTTGATCCTAAGGGCGTTCTTGCTGCGGGGGTGTCAATGTTTACTATAACTAATGATACGAATCGAATTTGCATGTTCATTCTAACAGTAGACTTTAGATTATTCATGTCAGAAAACCCTTTAAAGAGGCAAACTACCGATTGTGTGCATCAATATAACCTGAAGGTCTCGAGTAAAACAGACCGATCTAACTGAGAACATCAACTTAAAGACAGAATAACTCTGGAGACAGAGATTGCCCGCACGAATGGTCGTGTCATGCGACCAGGGATGAAAATGTTTGGAATTTCTACATTCCCCAAAACGCTCAGTCAGCCTCACGGGAAAGTACGTGCGCACGCGTCCGGCTGCATGCTGCTAGCATGCAACAGTATATTTTTACGTCTTAACATTGGCTGCAGCGGAGTGAACCTAAACTGGGTCTCCTTATTGCGAATGACTGATGAAGCAACCGCAAAGACTAAACGAATGGTGTAGATCCCATGGACTACAATGCATTATATTT